ACTTTTGCGCCGTTTGTCAACTTCCAAATATTCATTAGTTTTGGTGAGCCCAGTGGTGAACTTTCTTGGGCTTAGTGGTTTCGTTGTAGGAGATATGAAGTTGGGGGACTGCACCGCAATAGTAGCCACCAAGTGCGTGCAGGGAGGGATAGGGAATTGGCCGTTTTATCGGTGACGGACCCTATCTGAAATAACACGACTGGAAGCCGTTAGTCCATGCGCCCTGGATCAGTCTGCTTCGCCTGTTACCGATTCATTTTGACCACATGATGGGTTTTCATCATAAGGTCTGAGATTTGTGTGCAATCAGTTTGCGTTTCCCTATCCCCTATGGCTAAGTTTTATAAATAAAATTTGTAATCCGGTTTGTGTATTTCGTCTTCTTGCTTACAATGAGTGACATGTGTTTAACTACAAAAACATTTTTGTTTCTTAATTCTTTCTATCAGTTAATACCACAGGACGGTTTAAAAGAGAGTTTGACGTTTAATTAAAATTAAATGTTTTGTTCCTTGTTAGAACAACGAACAAGAGTAAACACTTAAAAAGAACGAGATTTCACAGTAACTCCACTAGTCAGATGATTAGAGGCTATCTACGAATTCGATAGACACCCATTGCAACGTCGCAGATGTGGGCAGCGTAAAGCAACACTGCCCGTTCACCCTCATCATCAAAGTCATGCTCATCATCATCGTCATCAGCAACATCATCATCATCAGCAGCAGCAGCAGCAGCAGCAGCAGCAGCAACAGCATCATCATCATCATCATCATCATCAACTGTGGTACATCAGCCATTTCAACTGATGCTTCGCTTCCACCCAGTCACAACTATCTATGGAACGAAGAAAATAAGAGGGGAGAGGGACTTAGCATAAACTCCTAATGCCATAAACAAGCATTCGGGCTTAAGACGCCTGCACCATGTCAGCAACGAAGTGTTACAAACAGCTGAATATCCTGCAAAGATAAGGCGGCATCAGCGAGACAGCTTTCTTGCGGCTTCCGCTGTCCCGCAGCATAATCATCCTTTACCCTGTAGATAACTCAGCATCAAACACACTTTAAACAGGTTCTCCATCTACGACACGGCAGGAGACTCGTCACTGGCGTCGACTCTGAGACATGTCCTGTAATGTCTCAAGCCAAGCACAAGGCGGACTGCGTGGATTCCAGCCCGGGAAGTGAGAGGAAATAACGGCACCCAGTTTGATCGTTAGTAAATTCATTTTCCGCTGCCAATTTAATTTGTGCTCATCCCGGGCTTTGTGCCACCCTACATCTGACAAACAAAACAAAACCCTCTTCGGTAAGCGATGACTGAGCATACATAGTACGTGCCCAAGCCAACGCAATTTATTCAGTGCTATCAGTTAGACTAAGAAACTAGCCGAGTAATCTCTGCCTATACTCGCTAAGGCACATCATCGTTGTACACACTGGTGTTATCCGACACTAGCAGTGTTCGTAGACGACGATGATCAAAGAAATGAAGGCGCCGCAGGTCCTCAGATCAGAAGGGCCAAGCCTCACTCCCGTAGAGCAGGTTAGCCCTCACCTTGACCTGGTATGCACGGCCTTTTAGACGGAAGGCAACTGCTTTCTGTCTCCAAAGATGTCGCAGATTCAAAAATTCAGTTCTGGCCATTGCAACATGTAAACCGAGTTCAGTTCCTATGCGCCCATATTTGCTGACGCAGCTGCCAAGGTAAGTGAATTGACCAAGTATCACGAGTTCCTCGTCATCCAGGGTCAAGTGACCATCAAGTGGCTGATAGTCCTGCAGCAACACTTTGCACTCTGTAGGTAAGAAGCACATATCAATTAATGGGACAACCCTGGGGAGGCTATTCAGGGCTGATTGCGCCGCCCCAACATCGCGGAAAAGTAATACAATATCGTCCACATAATAAAGACCAATAGCCCTCCGCCAGGCAGTACCACAACACCTGCATCGTGAGGCTGCGCAAGAGAACACTTCATGACGGCGTCCAAGAGGAATTTGAGGAACAACGTGAAAATTGGACAACTATGACGAAGGCCACTTATTGTCATAAAGATAGCCGAGTTGTCACCATAGACGCTGACGCGGCCTGTAGTGTTCGAGTATAGAGCACGTGAAATGTCCGCATATTTCATGGGAACACCCTACCGCACAAGTATTTTGAACGGAATGCATCAGTTGACTGAGTCGAAGGCACTATTGAAGTTCATGAACACAGATGTCGCCGGTCTGCTGTATGTCCGGCGTTGCTCTGCCACTTGCTGCAGAGTGAATATGTGGTCTATACAACCACGCCCTGGGCGGAAACCTGTCTGCTCTTCCCTACTCTTGGATTCCCCATTCCGTAGTGAAGCGACTAGCGAGAATGAAGGCCAGGAACTTTGTTACCACTGTTGTTGGGCTAATACCCCTGCAGTTAGCACAGTCGGTGCGGCTGCCCTTCTTGTATCTGGCTACTATAAGTGATTTACTTCAGATAGCCGGGACTGTCCCCTCCTTCCAGACATGTTCAACTAGGGGGTCAGTGTATTGCAAAGGACTTCACCTCTATTCTTAAATAATACAGGTTGGAGGGATTTCGGGCTAGCAGCACGAAAACAATGAAGGTCTGCGATCACGTTTCAGACCTTAGTCTCCGACAGTCTTTATAATAACTTACCATCGCTCTTCCTGCATCATTGAAGTGGGAATTAGTCCAGAAGCGAGGACAACTGAACCGTTCTCAGAAGTGCTCCAACCAACGAGCCAGGCGGTGCCATCTCCGATTGTCTCGCTGAGGCTTGGTTACCTGAAACCAGAAATGTGTATCAGTAGCAAGAGCCTGTAAGGATTGCCTTCTTCTCTTGCCTCCTCCATTTCTTAGGCCAGACTGGTCCACTAAGCTTCCTTGTCAGCCCGCGGGCTCCGTTTTGGTTTGCGTATAATAGCCCGCCTAGTTACTTTGTGCTCAGAGCCTACCGGGACTTTTCTTCTGGATTCCAACTAGTTTATCGACCTCTCCGATATCCAGTGACTGATGCGGTGATATTTGATACTGCCGCAAGCGGGTGCTGCCGCCACTTGCTTACTATCCGAGGTCTTATTCCATGGAAGCTGAGTGTCATTGGGGCAAGAGAGCGATAGTTCGGTAAGCAGAGCATTCTGGTAGGCTTGCTTGACCGAAAGCTGAGATAACATCTCAGTTAACAGTCGAGGATGGCATTGGTGCTCTGCACACTGCTGTAATAGACACTCGCCGTTGTTCGTACAGTCGTAGTTAAGCACATGAATATCACTTAGCCGAGCTTCTAAAGAGTTCAGATGCAGTACTTGCGCATTCATATCCCCTGCAATAACTATGATCTCTAAACTGATATCACTGCGTAATGGCGTGTTCAGTTTGTGGTAGAATGCGCCCTTCGCAGCATCACACCTGCAATCGGTGGGGGCATAATCAGAAACCACAAATAAAAAGCGTCCAATGTTACTTAGTGAATCAACATAACTTGATGTAGTTAAACGAACCATAAAAAAGGCTTTTCGCTGGAATTCAATCAACCAACGATGACTTAGTCTTGGAGCTGAGCACAATGTCTACTCCAGCTTTGACCGGTGGTTACCACCTTAGTGTCTCCGGATGCCTGCAACCAATAGCGAGAAGGCGAACCGGGCGCAGTAGATTAAACAACCCCGTGATGGTTATTGATCCTAGTTTCGAAAACACAACATACGTCAATACCTAAAGTATCCAGTTTGCGTGCGAGTGCCGTCTGCTGACCTGTTTGTCTTAGAGTGCGGACGTTGAACACCGCCAGAGAAGCGGGACAGCGTGGTATATTAATGGACTGTTGCCCATATGCGTCCACTGGGTGTTGCGGGAAGGTAGCTGCAGATGGTATAACTCCGTTGACATTGCGGTTGCTGTCAGTCAAACTGGGAATTATAGATGATAGGCTGGTAATGGGGACTGGGAAGTGATTAAGTGAAACATGTGAAAATGGAAGAAGGGTTGTGCCAGCAGTAGCATGTTTCCGTTTATCCCCCCCCCCAGGCAGTTTACAGCAGATAAGGCGCCCCTAGATAAGCTGCGCGACGACCGATGCAGAATATGGTTGAAACTTGAAGAAGTGCTCAGGGTTGTACCTGGGCTGAGATACTGCCAGGGCGTCCAACTCTAGACAGGAGAACGATTATTGCTCTCACTCCAAGCCGTTGACTCGAAAGCCACTTCGCAAGGCAGTTATTTGGCGACGATTCGGTTTTACATAAATTGACGCTGTCCCCTTTCAAACCCACAACTTTGAGGGCCAGGAGACTGAGTTTGTCTGACCTCTAACCATTGATCAATCTGGTAGGAGCAGCTCAATGGAGCGACGAGGTACGCAAAACATCCCACCACGTTAAGGCCCAGTTTCATTGCCCATAACGGGGTCTGGGTTCAAAACCAAGCTAATCACTGACCTATAATGCTTTTCCATTGGTGTGGTAAGTTAATTGGCTACCCCATAGTACAGCGCAACTTTCTATATCAGCTTGTTTGGCCCCCAAAAACGTACCGTGATATCAAGTGACGCTGAATAAGAGGAGGAAGGCGCCGCTGGAAGCCAGAGACATCCGTTTAATGTTGTGAATACGTGTGAAATAGGGGGTTGAGCCTAACAGCACCACAGCTACTAAGGTAATCATGTGATTAACATCGGCTACTGTACTCTTGCGTCATGAAACATTGTCAATAAAAATGTCTTGGCAGTTGGCTTGTACATAAGTTGGGAAGCGTTGAGTGTTATCCCATTAGTATACATCGAAGCAGCTTCAGAATTTCATCTCCGATGTGTGACGCTAGTTTGATTAGGCCCAACGACGACAAATCTTACTCAAACTTATTTCAAATCTTTGAATATGTCTCTGCGTTTATTAATTCTCTGCAACAATGTGTTGGAGTACAACCAGAATATAATTGTCGGGCAGCATCAATCAAGATGTTTCCGGGGGTTGTAGGCAACAGGCACATTTACCTGGTCAGAATCGCGCAGTCCTTCAAGTTCATAGGAATTACCGTCCGTTTTGGAGCGAAGGTATTGCTCTGGAAAGAAAATCAATTGGAGTTTTTTATTGGCATTCAACTATATTACCTATGATCCAAATGTATTATTTGTTTTCCTTGTGCGCTTTTCTTATATACATGACTAGTTATGAACGATCTGCATTGAATTATGCAATACACAGCTGCAAACGATGGAGTTTCACCTGGATCTAGATAAAGTAAGTATAGCAGCTGATGAGCTACAAATCCGTTCTTGTCCAAAGCTGCCAAACTGATCTGTCCTCCAGGAGGAAAAGAAACCTGAAGCTCATCGCACCATTAAACATCCTTTATCCCGGACATCATTTTGCCATCTGGCTCTTAAGTTAACCAAACCTAAAGCATACAAACCGAGTAAAATTGACAGCGACCAAAATCCAAAAGGCGATTAACAGCCATACGTAATTTGAAGATTCAGCAAAGGTACGTACTTTGTGAACAATTAAAAATTTCGCAACCGCGGACCAACATATTGCATCCGTTACTAACCCGAAAGTATTGCATTTCAAGGCCGGTTTCGAAGTTCCTTTTTCTCCTCAGGTAGGGATAGTGGAGCACTCGAGTCCGGAGCATTTGGGAGGTCCGGCGTAATACCACTCTCCTTAGCTGCCGAGTTGCGGCAAGCAACGTTTGGATATAACCTTCTGTGTGTACCAGTTTACCTGTTCCTATGTGGTAAGTTACATAGATCGCACCACGGAGCGTTTGTCTGAACGCGTCTGCGAGCATCACCCAGCGTGTCTAAGCTGAGGAATGAACAAAGCCTGTACCACCGCGATAGTTCTGCATCTAGTCCAAACGAATCATCTCGTCATTAACTCTAAAGCCTTTCGCCTGACCTACCGTGAGAGGGATGTCCATTCAAAACTTATCAGATGCCGTATCCTTGCATTGGCGGGGGCGATCGCGATTCGTCTTAATAATCCCCCACTGTGTGTGCGCAACCGTTACTGCCTGATTGGAGGAGCACTCTGTGTAGCATTTTTGTGTGAATGGATAGTGACGTGCAACATGCATTTGGACCAAGATTCCCCACAAAGGGTACTTTGGTAGATTCGATAACGGAGCTCATAAATCAAAGAGACGCATATCGGGCGTTACTAGTCCACTAGTTTTTAGAGCGTAATAGAACCAAGCACGACGTATCGGACTTCAGAGTCGTAAAATCTGGAGTGGAACGCAAATGACTGCATGCAAGTTGCGACAATGGTTTCAGGCTAATATCTATCTTCACACTACTTCACACTACTCACAAACATCCACCATTAATATCTATCTCTTCCATTTGAAATCCACTCTAGAAACACAAAGACTCAACCGTCTTGACTGCTATTGAGCTGGCAAGGAAGCGGAATTTAATAGGAGCAGCTTTACAATAGGCCGGTCTCACTCACGGATATTATGAATAATGTAAATGTGGTCCAGTTGAGTACGGTTAGTCGTTATTTACCAAATGCTTGACCGTCATATACTACTACTTAAGAGGTGTTCAGAAAAGTATTTAAATGCAAGAGTCGCATCCTACGAAATCCTTTCGGATTTCCTGGCACATGCTCTCTGACAGAGTGAGGCTGTTTATCAAACAGCTAGGGTATCCACATTTAGGAAAAAATATTGCGAGGTGGGCCTGCGTATTCCAATTTTAGTGGAAGTTAAACGTCAATAGATCTAGGTTGCGTTGAATGGTCTAATTTAATACCAGCGACAGACATAGCCGTTAAAACCTTCCATTCAAGCTAACTTTATACCCTAACTTTATACACTAACTTTATACACCAATGGGATGACCAAAGTTTAGCCGTATGGCTTGTGCCGCCGATGAATCCCGAGTGCCGGCATGTTGCTTGATGCACTTGTCTAAACCGGAAGTTTGATGGGCATTCAGCTAATGCCATACGGATGAAGTGACTGACGTTGGTGAGAATGTTAGAGGTTTTTAGAAACTGACAAACTGGAACACCCTGAGCGCATCTACTTTCGAACTTAAACTGCTGCCAGATGGAGTATTATGATTCATTGACCTGTCTATCACCTTGAGATCCTTGCTCAAAGGACCACGGGATAACATAAGAAAAATTCGTCCAATGAGGTGCCACGCATGTAACGTGGTCTCTGAGATTCAGCTAATGAGACACGATAGACTTAATAAGTTAGTCTGCTAACCAGCTTTTACACGTAAGGATGCCCTGTGAGATCATGGCTCAAATTCACTCCAAGTTATCTCAATGTTGTGTAGGAATTTAGATGGTTGTACTCGATGCGAATTTGTGGACAATGCGTGGGTATTTGTTAACAGTCATCATATTTGATCTTTGAAATAAGCTGTATTCTAAGATGTACAGAAGCATGGTTTGAGGCTGTCCGGGAACGTTTGTGGCTTAGCAGATGAAAGGAAGATAGGCACTTAGGATCACACACTATCTGCATGCCTCAGAAGCACTGATTACTTCGGGCTCGACTTGAGTCAGAGTTAGCGAAAAATAGGAAAACAGGCGAATGACTTGCTGAATAACACAGGATTCCGTCAGAAGTGACAAAGTGTGCCTCCCAAATTTAGCCAATTGAGTGCGATTTTCAGATGCACCCAAAAAAGAATTGTCAAAGTTGAAATACCGAAAGGAACAGATTGTATAACAGCAGTTTGCGTTCCACCAAGATGCAACTACTGTTGTATTCTGGGAAAGCAGGTGCAAGTGAATTTATACAATCCAGTGAGGAAAGCAATTTATGCACTAGGCAGACTATCACATTTATGCTGGACTTCGAACTGAGGTAGTTGCGTTGATAGGATGCATTCATGGAAGTTATACTGCCAGAAAATAAAACAGTCAAAGTACTGGAAAACGCCCCCCCTCATTATCTGGATATGCCTGAGCCAAGGATCTTCCAAGAATAATTCTCCGAAGTCCTTTAATGTCACCGGCGGGTAAGTGGTGTGCCAACAGTTAGATGCTTCTTTCTTCCGCACCGGCGTGGTTCTTGCACTTAGCCAACAATCAGTTATCCTCTGCTGCCTAAATCACGACATGTATGAATCCGTAAAAGTCTGTGCGAACGAATCAGAGCATTTACTGATCACGACAGGAGGCAGTCTACTTGGACCGGTGCGCTGATCGAGTACAGCGCAATTTATTCTACGTGTAGTTCTAAGCTGTTCAGTTAATGTGTTGAAGACTTACCAATTATTTCGTTATAAAATACTGTCTTAATTCTTCCACATGCCGAATATAATCTGTGATATCGCATAGGATTCCGCTTAGCTAACCTCAGCCCCATGCATATTTGTCGATAACTAAAGTTTCTAAGTTCTGTTTTAATTATGCTTGCTTGAAACGGTGCAATCTGTTTTTTCAATTAGCAACGAATCTGTTGTGAGAACGCCTTTAGATTGAAAATCATTTTAGCCTGTGCAGTCTTATTGGGCATTCAGAAGAACATCTCTTAGCGTAGACAAAATTACCCGCTACTGCTATTATATATATATATATATATATATATATATATATATATATTCGCAACAGTCTAGCTAATATAAATCGTGTCACCTAGATACTATGGAATGAATGTGCATAATAGGCACATAGATTAAAAAGGAAAAAGGCGGAAAGTGATTATTTGTGTGTTTTCTTACACCGCTTCGCCTATTTTTCTGTTTAGAGGCTACGGATTTCGCTGTTTAGAAGCCATGAATGGACTAATGCATGCACTCTATCGCCTGCGATTACGCGCCATGTTCACAAGAGTTTACAACCGGCGATGTTCTGCATCTCTGACCCCGCAGCCCGGAAGACGTACGGGGCCGACAACAGCTAGACTAGAAGTCAGCGCCTTGAAGTTTTGTTACCATGTGGTAAGTTGGTCAAAGCGCGATTTTTCCAATGCGGCTTTCCGCGAACGAATAGAGCGCACTGTGGTAAACACTCGAACGGCATGCGTAGGACGTGACCCAGCCACCTCATTTGAGACAGCGATTTTAGCTTGTAATGTGGTGGGCCAGGAAACTTAGGACCCGCATTCTAACATCGACTTAGATCATACTGTTCTGCGCGAACATGTACATGCTCTTTGTTGGTTCCTCGAACCCAAAACATCGTAAGTTGAATAGCATCGGTCTAGCTAACCCGTCGCATCAACAAGCCTATCAATCCTTCTAATTAGATGCGTTCGCTGGTCCTTCGCCTATATACGTTGAACATCACTGGAGTAGCTTGCAGATGGCGTTGTTTTCTTCCAGCCAATCACCCTGTGAAATTGCTGAGTATCCTCCGAGCGGCTGGATCTCTGCTCGCTCTTTGGAAATGTTTGATCGTCTACTAGTAATCCCAGCTGATTCAATCTGCGATGAAGTCTGCCGCAATCTCAGCGAGCTACACAAACAAAGCCTTCGTAAGAATCGCGAAACTTGGTGATCTCAACGTGCTGCGGAGATGGAAACAGCAGTAATCTTTGGAACTTCCCACAACTTTTTCCAAATCATTCAGACTACTGGCTACAGAAAACCTGCGTCTGTGAAATTGTTTGTAAGGTTGCTGTAATATCAACTATATATTTACGTAGGCGCGTAAACTGCCGTGCTTAGCACTTCCACTCTCAATGCAGTTGGTCTCCTCCTCCAATTTGTCTAAATAGCAAGCCAAGTAGCGCGCGTTGGAACGTTTTACCGCAGTCACCCACCAAAGCGGAGGCCTGTCTTAAGCTTGGTCACTGGAATCGATACAAAGTTGCTGGCTCAGGCGGACTTCTTCCAGAGCTGTTTAGGTAGGTAGCGAGATACTTGTCAACCTGTTAACACCTCTGCTCTCCAATATCTGGTGTAAAGAAAGGGTCCCATCCTCTTAGGGTGAGTCTTTCATGGTACCCATTTTAAATATGGTGTTCGAATCTCTTATATCAACCACAGTGGAATAAGTCTAATATCCGCCGCTTCCAAAGAGCTAACATCCATTCTACTGCGCAGGCTAAAACTGATTCGATAACTACACTCCCTTTAGAAACAAACT